CAATATGGTTTCTGATTGGTTGACTGCTGCATGAAAAATCCCGTGCTTTTCCGAAAAATGAGAAAGTCCCCCCTGCTTATCATGAGTTTTTTTAACAGTTAACTTATTTATTTTATAGGAGTCGCGGGTTTTGGAGTCGTGTCACAGGTATGCGTCGTCGTTGCCGGTATTATTATAGGTGTGATTTCGTCGTTCACTGTAGTCGCCTTAATGGAGTATTCGTTAACGTTCTACGTTTCGTCGCTTTGGCGTTCTTATGGATGTAGATTTTGCTGCTTGTTGTAGTTCGTTGTTTTCGCTTTGTCTTGGATGTGAGGTTCGCTACTTAAGGTTAGTATGGATTTCGTTGTTTGTGATATTGGCATGATTTGTTTTTTTTTGTAAATACACTTTACAAGAACTTTTACTGTATTGTCGTGATAATTTTGAAGGAAAAGCATTAACAACTGCGCCTAGAAGAAATGGTTGAAAAATGGCTCAAACTCCAACGAAAACTTTTTGTTAGAGCACAAAAGGTTGTTTCTTATGTTGATTTTTGAGGTATGAGCTATTTTTTGGCAGAACGAACGTTTTTTTTTGAATCTTCCTGATCGTTTTACAATCTTGAATTCTTAAAATCCGTTAACGTTAGTGTTAGGGTCAGGGTTAGGATCTAGAGAGGAGTTGTTGGTATAGTAAAATTGTTTAACGAATAACTATGCAAGGTTCATTAAATTTCTCGATTTATTTCGCCTAGAAAAGATGGTTGAAGAATGGCTCAAACTCCAACGAAACTTTTTGTTAGAGCACAAAAGGTTGTTTCTTATGCCGATTTTTGAATTTTTGGCGGAACGAACGTTTTTTTTGAATCTTCCTGATCGTTTTACGTTGCACTTAATCTTGAATTCTTAAAATTCGTCAACGTTAGTGTTAGGGTCAGGGTTAGTTAGAAAGTGCTTTAAGGTTCTCAATTTATTTCGCCTAGAAGAGATGGTTGAAAAATGGCTCAAAATCCAACGAAACTTATTAAGACTTGTATTAGAAGTAAAAAATTTTTTTTATAGACGGAAACATATAAAATTTTAAAAATTTAATGAAAATTTTATAATAAAAAAATTCAAAATAAAAACTTTAAATCTTTATAATTCTTAAATTTTTTAATAAAATTAAAAATTTTTCTTTACAAAATTATTAAAATATATTTCAAAATATATTTTTTACTTAAAAAGTATATAGCTAAAATTAATATTTAAAATTTTATTTTAAAAATAAAACTTTTAAAAAAATTTTAGTACAAATTTGTACAAAAAACAGTTTAAGGGATAAGTCGGCACTTCTTTCGGCCTTCAATCTAGTAAGTTCATCTTCGAGCGTCATGTTTCAAACTCTAAGTAAATGTTTATTTTTTTTTATCTTCGGATTTCTTCATTAAACTCTTTGCGAACTTGTTCGAGTCTATTATCCGTGTCGACATGATCGATAAAATTTAAATTCACATCGTCAAGTATTTCTTTAGTCCGCCTTTTTTCTTCATCAGTAATTTTAATCACGGTTTTATTCATGCTTATCTGCAAACAGCCAAATGGTCGTGAATACAGATAATATGATCAATAACAATAGATTTTATATCCCCTGGCTATAGTGTTCTGCATGAATTGAACCAGGTGGATATTTTTAAAGATCTGGATCTGGTCCAAAGAATGAATTGGATCCAAAACTTGGATCCAGTTTGGCACTTCTAAACGTTTTGACCAATCAGAAAAGCTAGCTTATAACTTTGAACTAGACCGGGCGGATTTCAATATGGGTCCAAACCCAGTTCGCTCACAGATCCGGGCGGACTAGAACTTTTGCGGAACACTACCTAGCTGAGACTTTCTGATAATTTAGTTTTCCAATTTATATTGCCCGGCCTTAATTTTGCCCAAAATTTGTAATGTTACACTGCATTAAAAAATTCAAAAAGATCAATTTCCCTATGATTTGACCCAAAAATATCGGTTTATATATGATCAATACGAATCGAATTATTTTCCATCCCTGCTTAAGTCCACTGTTGCATGGGCCCGTATTATTCCCAAATGTATGACTACTTAAAGGCACGTACCCGGGATATATAGGTGGCAAATGCATTACAAAATTCGGTAAGATCCTCGCACGTTATGTGGCAAATGAGTCACATTTTAAAAAAATTATTTATACGGGGTAATCTAAATGTGATCCCAACAATTTTAATAATATAGAGTAGATATTTATCGTATAAGACCTAACTAATGTTTGATTTTACTAGTTTGATGTAGGGTGTCCAGAATTATGGCGATGCAATTATGCGATGAATATGAAATAATTTTAAAATTATGCGATTTTTATAGTACCGTAAAATGCTGACTCTTGTATCCGGGTATATACATTGCTAGTATTGTACCCGGGGTACCGAAGCAGGGGGGA